ATATATATATATATAGAGAGAGAGAGAGAGAGAGAGAGAGAGATATAGATATATAGATATAGATATATAGATATAGACTAATAATAGCAGTATGTTATGCATCGATAGCAGCAACAGCTTTTCCAGGTTCTGCAGTCATCTGAACAAAATTATAGACATTCAGCACATTCCATTAAAACAAAACAAAACAAAACAAACAAACAAAAATAAAACAAAGAAAAGAATAATATCCAGAAAACAGCAAAGTTCTGTTGCAGTTGTGGTAACTGGCACCATTTTTTTTTATTAGCATCTTAATCATCATCTAGAAAGAGAACATTCTAGAGTAATATCAAATGTAGCTCTGATAAAGCATGTTCCCTACTATGTATCATAAAGCAGGTACAAGATATTTTGTGTTCATAGAGGTATGATACAGTACCATTCTACATCAATAATACTAGAATCAGTTCTGGTTTGAAATTTACTTTGTCTGCAAATAAGATTGCTACCCCTATTTTTTCTGGGCTCCTGTCAGGTGGAGAATTATTTTCTATCTTTTCACTTTCAGTCTATGGGCATCTTTTTGCAATAGGTGTTTTTCTTGTATACAACATATTGTTGGATTGTGCTTCTTATTCCAGTTTGACTGTCTATTTCTCTTGATTGGTGAGTTGAGGCCATTGACATTGCTGGTTATAACTGATATGTACTGACTTATTATTGACATGTTATTGGCCTTTTGTTGACTCTTTACTTTTTCACCTCTCCTTTTAATTTCTTGCCTTGCCTATTTGATTTGCTCTCTTGGGCCTCATGGTGTTGTTGCCTTCATTGTCTTTTTCTAGGATCTTGTTTAGAATTCCTTGTAGTGCTGGTTTGGTATTCATGCAGTTTCTCAGGTGTTCTTTGTTGTGGAAGTGTCTTATTTCCCCATCCATTTTGAAAGAGTTTTTCAGGATACATCAGTCTAGGTTGGAGGTTGTTCTCTTTTAGTACTTGAAATATCTCATTCCAGGCTCTCCTTGCCCCAAGGGTTTGTGTTGAAAAGTCTGCTTTGATTCTGATGGGTTTTCCTTTGCATGTGATTTGTTTCTTTTCTCTTACTGCTTGTATATTTTGTTCTTCTGTTGGGTTTCTGGGATCTTGATTATTATATGTAAAGGTGTAGATTTTTTTTTATTGTAGCTAGTTGGGGTCCTATATGCCTCAGTTATCTGAATGTCAAATTCTTCCCCTCTGTTTGGGAAGTTTTCTGTCATTAATTCTGCAAACAGCTTTTTAAAGTCATTTGTATTTTCTCCTGCTACTTCATGTATTCCTATCAGTCTTATGTTATTCTTCTTTGCATCGTCTAGGAGTTGTTGGATCAATTTGTCATGATCCCTTACTGTTTTTAAGAGATCTTTCTTTTCATGGTCGCTGACTGCAATCTTATCTTCTGTATCTG